TAAGATACTAAGAAGAACATGTATTTAAAAGATTGTGAAGACTTTACTCTACAGTTAAATAAGAACAGATTTAAAGGGGCTAATATATGTAAATTCTCCGCAGTTTTTATTCAAAGGGTGGCTAGGAAACCCAAATAAGTAGGTGTATGTAATGCTGTGTATTCAATGATGCGTGATTCGTTCTTTGGTCATGAACTTGTAATGTTGGAAAGTGGTTATACTCTTCTATTTATAGTATATTTAGGGACGCCATAAGTAGCTCGAGTTATGTAACATCCAATGGAAGAATGAACCGTGAACTGGAAAGGACTCTAAAGTAGACGTTTTGCCATCATTTACCTGGCCAGACTGAGGACGACGACGGAAATCATCGGTCAGGAAATTTGGTGTCCGAGCCGAGATTCGAAACTTTAACCTCACAAAGGTAAGTCGCAAACATGCTGATTACCTTTATTGAGGAAAAAGTGATCACAGATCCTCTTAAGGAACACTTCAAATGGTCATCAGGATAAGAAACTTCTTTAAAATAAAGTATAAATTTGTGAAAAGAAAGACAGCCATGAAATTACGTGTTCGATTGCAGACATAAACAATTCTCGTAAATGTCTTATATTTTCTTTGATAAACACTGGATTTGGCACGTACTTTTTTAGGAATGTTTGTATGTTGACATGTAAACACTTTATAGTAATTTGTAATATATTTTTGGAGCAATTATGTGAGAGCTTTCATCTTGACAGATTCGTAACTCCGCAGGGACTTTCATAACTAGGTTACTTATTTAATTCAATGGTTATATTTAACGATAAAACCTCGTGTGCTTAGTTTCTTAAATAAATCTATACTCATATCACGTATATTGCACTATGCAGCACATTCATGAGATTCAGTTATTATACAAGGAAAAGGAAAGAGCTGTATATGTGGCTGCCCGAAAGGCGATAGGATAGAAAATCGTATTGGTGAAGAGACATGAAAACCAGAAACATTTCAATTTCAACTTACAAATTATTTAAATGTATGTGATCGCACTGCACCATGTGAAAATTTTATTAGGAAATTTCAATGTCAAAGACGGCAAAAGTAAAGCTATCCTTGTACCAGGCAGTGAAGGCCCATAGGGTTGTGAGACGTTAAGGGTCCCACATTATCTAGACAATTGGCTCAAAGATGGCGGTAAGGTTGTCAGCCTTATGCGCCGGCCGCGCATTACTCCCCAGGAAAATTATTTAATTAATTCCTGGTATTAATTTCTATTAGAGGCTGATTCGACCCCAGGACCATAGTGCGGCTGGAAGGATTAAGTCAATTGAAAAAATCCAATGACCTCATCGGGACTTGAACCCGCGACCTTCCGGCTTGTAGCATAGACCCTCAACCAAATACGCTACCGCGTGCCCCCGCCAAAGACGGTACGGAAGATATTTTGAAATCAACGATTGGGAATGTGAACTTGCACGAAATTTGTAATGACAATGGAGTATGAGTACTAAATTTTGCCACATCCAAAAATTGTATTGTCAAAAGCACAATCTTTCCACATCGTAACATTCACAGATTTACTTGAAAGTCTCCTGAGAAAAAGATGAACAACCAAATTGACAATATTTTAATAAATAGGAGACGGAAGGACAGCAGATTATGATACTGACCTCTATTTAGTGGTGACAAAATTTAGGGAGAGACTGGCAGTGAATAAACAAACAAAGCACAAGTTCATATGAAGGGGTTCAATCTCAAGAAATCAAACGAGGTAGAGGGTAAAGAGCAGTATCGTGCTGAAATTTCAAATAGTTTCGCAGCTTTGGAAAACATAGAAACATAGAGCTTGGGAAACTATTAGACGGAATATAAAAATTTCTGCCAAAGAGAGTCTAGGTTATTATGAATTGAAGAAGGGCAAGATGAAGGATGCTAATAATTATTAGACCAAAGGAAACAAACGAAACTGCAGCGGTTACAGGATCCAAGCAAAATAAACTGAGATAAAATGAACGATATAAATGTGAAACCAGCAGGCATTTCAGGAATATAAAGAGGGAATATCTGAAAGAAAAAAAAAATGGGCTTGAAACGAACAGTAAGAACAAGAATATATGAGGAACTGTATAGAGGAATAAATGACTTCAAAAGGGGTTACCAATCTAGAAGTAACTTAGTGAAGGATGAGAATGGTGATCTGCTTGCAGATTCCCACAATATTTTGAATAGGTGGAGGAACTACTTCTCTCAGTTATTGAATATACATACATATAGTCAGTGTTGTTAGGCAGATAGAAATACATACAGCTGAGTCGTTAGAACCTGATCCTAGCCCTTTTGAAATTGAAGCTGTTAATGCAAAGTTGAAAAAGTATAAATCGCCAGGTAATGATCAAATTTGGGCAAAAGTGATTGAAGCAGGAGATGAAATATTACGTTCTAAGATCCACAAGCAAATTAATTCTATTTGGAATAAGGAACAATTGCTGATCAGTGTAAGGAATCAATTATTATACCCGTTCCAAATAATGGTGAAAAAATGAGTGTAGTAATTATGGGGGATATCACTGATATCAACTTCATACAAAATTTTATTCAATATTCTTCTCTCAAAGCTAAGTCTATACATAGAAGAAATAATTGGGGATCATCAGTGTGGGTTTCGACGTAACAGATCACTTACTGATCGACTCTTTCGCATTGGTCAGATACTGGAAAAAATGGGGCTGATGATTCTCTCACTCCTGTACGTATGTAGAAGGAGTACTGTGTTCGTGTGCTCATGCAGGCATATAAACTTTAAAATAGACAGGAGGACGCATACATTCGAAAAAGTTTCTTTAGCAATATGGCACCTTTAGTGTACAAATCCAGATGAAACGTTGGCTGAAGACTTATGACAATGGTCCATTCATTGTAAGGTTATCATACACTGGACACTGACCACTGTCTACAGCATGCATGACGTTCTGGAAACTAGAGCAGTTCCCGTCACGTGTTGTATGGAAGGGAGAGGCTTCTGTTCAGCTGCTCCAGTTACGTACAGAGAGCCTCAGTCATTGAGCGGAACGCCCAAACCGTCTATACTCAGCAACTGCAAAGACTCAACTGCAGTGCATCTGATGACTGAGTCGGATCCAGTTACCGAAAAGTCTGTATATTAAATATGCTCCAGACAATGTAGAATGTCTAACATAATCTTCTTATAATAATACACATGATTAATATTTATCTAGCTGAATATTTGGAGCCAGAAAAGTTCGGACCCGGCGCATGAAAATGTTGCCTCTTGTTTAACTGCATTAAGAAAACTTTTCTCAACTCGTATTCTACGCAACAATAAAAAATGTTTTCATAAAGAAGAAATCTCATGTTAATAAGGGACAGTGGCCGTGGGTGCAGATGAAGAAGTGAGGTATGCCCCACAGTCGGGACATTTCCTGCAGGCCGCCAGCCCTCTCACCGTACCACATTAAACAATTTGTATACTGGTTCCTTCATATGATTACGAGTGGAACTATGGGTATATCAGCCTCATACACATTTTACCGTGGATCCATAAACTATTGCCAAATACTGACGGAAACACATATGCGGTCAGGGGGCAATTAGAGGCAATCGAACGTAATTACTTACTGTTTCCAGTTACACATATTTTTAAACCCCATCTTTACAATCCGAAACATGGCTGAAAGAAAAATATGCCTATATGATGACAGTTTCTGTTAGAGTTACGTTGTGTATGTGTGAGGGGGGGGGGTCCATCAAATGTCCTTGCATGTGAGCGTGCACTTCTCCCTTGCCCAGGGAGCCTCATTTTCTAAGAGCCCGCCCTGAATACTTCCGAGTTCCCGTTTGCTATCAGAGGATTTGTGATCTCCTGTCCTTCGGGACTGTGATATGTTGTGACCTAAATGGGCGAATTCCAAAGCAGGCGACTTTTACATTAGGAAATTTACAATGGCAGAGAATGAAATACATTGATTTAATCCTTCCAGAAATATAATTTTACGTCACACAGAATTATTAGTTTGGTAAATATTTACTAATAATTTAATTTCATGAACAATTTAAAGGCTGAAGAAATGACAGAGAAGAGAAACGTTACATTTATGGGGGACTCTATTCTTTTTCACCGGTTTTTGATGTTCCCAAGCAGTGCTCATTCGTCTAGGAAAATATTTTAGCTCTTCAACTAAGTTATCTTAAATAAACCTACCAGTTAAGAACAGTGGGATGTAAGTTTGCTCCAGCACTCTCTGAGATACCTACTTAAACAGAGGCCACCATCCGCCCATTGTATCACATGAGCCTCATAAATTGTTGTCACTTTTGAAGAGATGATAATACGGTTTAAATTCGGTAACATGAAGCTTAAAGGTAATGACTTCAATATATTTATGGATACTTATGAGTTACGTAGTTCAGGGGAAAGCTTTAAATTGAATGAAAATGTAACCAAATGGACAGGTATATCTTCCCAGGAAACGTTCGAATATTATGTACTCAGTATTATAGCAATTGTGGCATCGTGGGCAGTCTCATGACTGCAGTGATGACGATTTTAAAAGGCTTTAAGTATTAAAATTATGACATGTTTATGGCTTGAAAATAACCGAAATGCTTTTCGTCAAATATAAATTATTATTCCACACTTGACGTTCCCCTAAGAAAGATTAATATGGATATTCATTTAAACGTCTTCAAGTGAACAGTTTTTAGACCAGGAAACAGCTTCTCCTGTTCAGTCACGTGACAATTTTCGCTTAGTGGAGGGTGGAGTCCAACTGGGTCCACTCGGCACGGCGGCCACTGACTGGCCTATTGTAGCCTGCCCCGGGTGATAATGATGGTAGAGAATTTGGTGGAATGAAGATTGGCAGTGGAAACCGAAGTACTCGGAGAAAACCTGCCACAGCGCCACTTTGTCCACCACAAATCCCACTTGACCAGACCCGGGATCGAACTCGGGCCGCCGCGGTGGGAAGCCAGCGACTAACCGCTTGAGCTATGGCGCGGCCGCGTCACGTGACATATCTGGGGCGGTTTGAATTGAATCTCCTCCAGTCTCAGTCCCCTATAAAGGACACATGTCAGATAAAAGCAATACATGTATAGGATGCAGCAATCCGTACCCAAAAGGCCTCAAAGTTTGGTAGCCAATTTTAAAATGTAATTAAATGAGTACATTGATCTCTGTAAGTATTTACCAGTAAACGGTCGTGCTTTTGAAAACTGAATTATTCAAAATAATATATAAAAATTAATTTCTTAACTTACAGAACATATTACGTCTCCAATTCGGAGATCAACTAGTTAATTCTGCTTAAGAAAACAGTATCTGTTTATTGTGAGAACCATACGAAGCACACAAATACATTCTCTTGGCAGAATTAAGATTTTTGATACGCTAAACTTAGTGGTACATATAGTAACCACTGGGCTTTAAAAGGTTAAAAGAAACGTGCTCAGATGTTGTAAAAGAGCATCTAAACAGAGTGGATATTTTAGAGGAGGACGAACACTACATTTTTACATTCTTCCTGGAGTAAAGGGATTTTACGTGTGCCTTACAATTCGATATATTACTTGAAGCTAACACAGTTAAAGTATCCAGTAAGGTCTTCTGTGGTGTTCAGTTGTGTCTGTAGGGATTTAGCATCCCTCGCTCCGGAGACTGTCTCCACAATTTCATTATTCCCTGATACTGGAGAAGACATTCTCCGAAGTGCTGAGAACTAACACTATATTAACACTGTTTACTGCCAGAGATCAGTTTCTTGCTCATAGCAATTCAAGCCAGAGTCTGTTCATTGTTTTCACAGCGTCTTGGGAACCATGCTAATCGTCAAGTCTTCTTTTCTAAGTTTCAGCATCGACGGTAATGTTGTTTCCTTCTTTGCGATATTGCAGTACTTGCGAAACAACGAATGGAAAATCATCACACATAATTTCTTGTTAATGTATCAGATTGGGCAGTGTTCGACACGACTTATCGCTTCCTTGACATTCATGTGAAATGTTTGAGCACAGTATTACATGAAAAGATGCCCACTGTTGCTTGTTCTGATACGTCACAATAAACAAAAAAGGCCGCCTGTAGCGGGACAGCCATGCAGGATGGATGCTTGATATTCGAGAAGACACAGAAGACGATTTACACTGACTGAAATTATAGAAAATTTTTATGGGCTAGCTGAAAATTTTTAACTACACTCTAATAAGGGTACGAGAAAGTACTACTGTAAGTTAATGACGTAAACCATTACATTATCATTATGAAGTAAGTTGATTCAATATGTTCCCGGTACCAGCATGTCGATGGGAATTTCAAGCATGCTTACAGAGGACTTTCTTCTGTAAGGCTACTTAGATGTGTAGTAGCCGTTTTTTGTAAAGTAGATGGACTTTACGCCATTTAAAATCTCTTCTGCATTTAGCAATTAAATTAAATTAAATTATATTTTATTTACGTGTTGATTTCAGCAGCCTTAGATAAATTACAGAATCAGCACAAATACAAAAGAACAATAACAAAACAAAACAAATAATAATAATATAAGCAATAACGATGAACATAATCATCACACTGATAATTAATTACAGATTTTATAATATAAAACAGTCATAAACTTACTTAATAACTCGCAAGACTTCCCTGCGCTAACTAATTGGTAGTGGAAACAAAATGACAGATTTCACCGGGCTGGAGAAGGCAAAGTGCATATTCTGCTCCCACATCAATGTTTACTGATACGTTTACGTTTAATTGGGTTCTATTAAAATATTTCCAAAACGTATAGCTCGTTCATCGAATATGTTGCATGAGAAGTGATTTCGGAATTGTTGAAGGGAACGTAACAAAATGAGCAACATTAAATAAATAAATAAATATAAGCAATGAAAGTCTTTCGTAAATCCTTCCCTGAGTTTACTGGGGTATCAAGCATCCGTAACTCACACAGATAATTGAAAAGTGCAAGTTTTTGTTTCATTTGGAGTTCTTTACAAGGACAACAACCCAAAGGTTTGTAGAGTAGCTGACGTTCCAGGAATTCCTTATTGAGGAAGGCGGATGAAATTTACAGCTGTCTCATGACGTCGTGTTCGACGGCTGGAGGGGTTGTCGTTTGGAGCTTGTCGTGTCCCACGACGTCCACAGTGCTCTCGCTACCTGACGCCTCGCTGGGGCTTTCACTACGACGCGATGTTTTCGGTCCACCTTCTTGCTTCACATAGTCTACGACCAGCTCTAATCCGATGAGGGCTCTCAGGTCCTTACACCGAGGCTTGTCCTCACCTTCCTGTCCTTCTGTCGAGGAGGACTTGTCGTCGTCCTGATCCTCGCCGTGTCGCTGTTGATTTTTCCTCACGTCCTGGTAGATGCGTGTCAGGTTATGCATCACGTAGTTGGTGGTGCAGGATCCCGATTCGCGCCTGTTCCTACATTCCACACCCGGGGACTGGTGTCCTCTGGGTTGTGGCACACTGAAGGCTGAGCAGTGCTTACTCTGTTTCACCAACGAAGATGATGAGGATGAAGGACCACTGGAGCTACTGACCGACGGTGACCTCTGTAGAGGCTTCTCGTCCGGAACGACTACTCCACTTGGGTGACTTAACTGCTCACCAGATGGTGACGTGTCTTTCCCCAACTTTCGGTCCCATATATGTCCCGATACACGGAGATCTATGAAGAAATGTAAAGGGTCAATTCCATATGGGGGCTGTGGGGGGAGTGGGTACAGCGGGGGATACCACAATGGAGGAGGAGGCGGGAGTAACATGTCTGTAGGTAGTGCTGGGTCTGGGGATGGCAGTGGAAGCAGTCCACACGGTGGAAGGAGCAACGGGGGTGGGGGCGGTGGGAGAGTGGGAGGTGACGATGAAGGGACAGGAGGTTTCTCCTCCTGAGGATTCGGAAGTGGTGGAGCAGGTGGCGGTTGCTGCCCTCTAGAGGTTGTCGTTAGTTCCAGAGGCTTGTCAAGTGTTGGCCCTAGCACGGAGGAAAGTTTCGTCCTATCCGTGCTGGCTTCTCTCCAGGAACGCTTCCTGCTACGACGTTGCTGAGCTGCAGTGGGACCGCGCACGGCTGTTCCCTGGCTGCCGTTGCCCTCCGCCTTGGCCTGCACGAAGCTACGCAGCATCTCGCTGAAGAAAAAACTGTGTGGGACGAGTGGCATGTTGTACAGATATGGCGGCGTTGCAGCCAACAGCCGTGACACCAGATCCCCATTGCGGTAATCCAGCGGAGACTGGAGTCGAGGCTTGCTTCCCAAGGAGGGCACCGCTTCTTGGGAAGGGGACTGCTGAGGAGACCCCACGTCCCCTGCAGAACTCATCCTGCAACAAGCGGGTCATTCACACTTACAAAATACATGCACGAGCAAAGAGACAGCAAATGGCAGGAGGTTGAAGGAACACTCATGAAGAGGAAATTAATAATTGTTACTCTTCAACAACTTATGATATTGTGATGAAGTGAAATGAGTGTAAGATAGTTGGACAAGAAGCTTAAGTGGGGATATGAGAAATGCATACCGAATTTCGATCTGAAACACAACTAAGGAAATAATATTGATGAAATAGTGGTATATAGGAGGATAATACTGAAAATGATGTAAAAAAAATAGGATATAGTAATGAAATCCAAAATGATAAGTAGAGTTCCAAGTATCAAAATTCATTGAGGACAAGGGCTGAGTCTGTGAGACTCGTGATAAGATGCGAAGGCAGGCTCTTTGAAAGAAACAAATGAAGTTTGGAAATCACTTAGTTTTGAACTTTATCCATCGTCCGGTATTCTAAAAAACTAGAGAAGACAACATTTCGGAAACTGGAACTGTTTCCTTCCTCAGGTGAGGGGCGAGACACCTACTTGAGTCCCTTAGAAAGAGCTAACGTCAATGACTGGACAACCTATGT